GATACTGGTAAGCAGGAGATGGGTGGATCAGGGATGTCCTCAGTCTTTCCTTGTAAAAATAAGGTCTATCATAATTAACCTGCCTGACCAATGGGTTGGTTTATTTGCATAGGTTATGCTGTGAATATTGTATAGAGTTTGATGGCTTGTAATGTCCAATCTGCTTCACTACTAATTAGTCTATATTTCTTTCTTTAGATGGTTCTGTTGTTCTTAATGAGTTTGATAGTTCATTTGAGGGAATCATTTCCTCATTTCTAGCAAGATATCCTAACTATGATACTGAACTGGAGTCTCTTTGGAGAAATGATCAACATTATTGGAAACAAAAATAGACACAATACATAATACATTTGATACAAATTAAAGAACTAGAAATTTACTTGTGTGTGCATATCGAGTGATTAATTGTCACATTGCTTTTGCATGTGTATGTCACAGTATTATTGTGCAGTGAAGTAATGTGAGAGTTGGTGGCCTTTCCAGTGATCAAGCAGTTAGACAACACAGTTTTTGGATATTTTGCTGTGTTGAGCCTTTATGCAACCTAAAATGAAAATAAGGCTATCATAAAGCAAAGTTTAATAGGCTAGTTGCTGTTTGTCACATGCAGCCCGGGCCATGCATTCATTTAGTTTACAACTGTTCACTTTGCACTAACCATCTCACATTTTCTGTAACAGTAGCTGGTCTCTTGCTCAGATTGCACCAAGAACTGAAGGTGAGCATCTGGTGGCGGGTCCCTCTTGTACCAGAGATAGTCTCCAGCAACAATAACGGCGGGTGAGGTTGCTGCTCCTCTAGTGGTCTCCTGCACTGGAGCTCGAGGGGGAGCTGCCACTCGCTCCATTAAAGCTTTTGCTCTTTCCAGCAAAACTAAAAGTAACCGCATTTCTAAAGTGACTACATTTCGGCCCTCCCTCGTTATTTATACTCATCAACTGAACGGAAGTGACTAGTGAGCACCTCTAAGGATTCTAAATAGGAAAAAGGTATGCAGATCAATAAAATAAAATTATGTGGATGAAATCAAGATGGTGCTTTTATAAGTTCTTTAGACACAAGATGATTATATATCTTTCTAGTTTTATTTACATCAATACGACACAACTTCCTAGCATCCATCAGACGTAGCTTCCCTCCACATTTCCTACTCTCAGCAATCATTACTCCTTTACAGTGTAAATATACATCAGGTAATATACGATGGACTGAACATATCTGTATAAAAATATAAAGGAAAGAGAAATTAGTACATGCTCGATGGACTGAACATATCTGTATAAAAATATAAAGGAAAGAGAAATTAGTACATGCTTGAAAAGGAATTCAAAGAAGGTGAATGATATGCATTATGTGTTGGCTAGAAGATGCAACATTACTCCAACCAGGAATTGTTATTACTCCAAGTTTACACAAACAACACGCACAAAAGGTAGTCTCACTACCTCATCATGCATTATACATGTACATATATGTGTCTGCTGGCAGCTGCAAGGTGTCCCTACATTGTTCTAACCAGAAATGTTGTGATTATAAGTTTACACAAACACATAGAAAGTAAAGGCGGATTTACAATATGACATTAGGCCAGCGTACCGTCAATTTTTAATCAAAAACGTGGGCGATTTGACCTTTTGACGCATGCTTTCCGCTGGAATAGAACCAGATTCTATTCCAGCGTCAACGTAACGTCAGGACTAGCGTAATATTGTAAATCCGCCTTAAGGCCTGGTTCACAATATGACGCTAGGCCAACGTACCGTCAATTTTTAATCAAAAGTGTGGGCAATTTGACCTTTTGACGCATGCTTTCCGCTGGAATCGATCCAGATTCGATTCCAGCGTCAACGTAACGTCAGGACTAGCGTAATATTGTGAACCAGCCTTAAGGGAATTACTTATTGAAGCCATTGCCATTGCTCCCATCACTCAGAATATGATGAATATGAGAGTAATTAGTATCAGACTGGTATTTAATGACACACAAATATCCTTACTTGTTTCTCTTCATGATCCAGTTGCTCCACACTGGGTGAGTATGTAATGTTTAATGGAGTCAATGAGTATTTTGTTTTATCAGTACTAGACATTGCTTGTTGTCCTTGTAGTTCAGTATTAGTACATGATATAGTAGCACTGCAAAAGGAGAAAAATGTTCAACTAGGTTATCTATGGTGAAACACAAAAGCCAAACATTATGTTTAATTGATATTTAAGTTGTGGTTTAATTGCTTAAATCTCACGTAAACAATTAGCACTCAC